GATGAAGAGGAAGTGTTTCATTAAATGCAGTTGGTAGTCTAGCGGTTGAATGCGTCTCTCTCGTCCTCCTTACATTTGTATGCTTGGTTTGGTCAGCTGGTGTCTTCTAAATAAAAAATAAGCAATTGAATTAGTGTTGAGGACCAGTGACGTCAATTTTCCCTCTATATATACAGGAGAAACTGAATTTGTCCGCTAACTCTAGCAGACAAACTGACTTGGCCCTCTAAATTTAGTGGCGAATTCATTTTGTATTTAGCTCACGTAGCGGGGAATTGCATTGGTGTTGAGGTCACGTGACTTCAATTTTCTTGCTAAATCTAGCAGAGAAATAAATTTCTCCGCACAATTCAGTGGACAAACTGAAGTTGCCCCCTAAATTTCCTAAATTTTGCGGCGCATTGAATTGGTGTTGTGGTCACGTAGCTGAACAATTTAATTGATGTTGAGGCCAGGTGACGTCAAATTAAGTTTACCCCCCAAATCTAGTGGAGAAAATGAATTTCTACACTGAATCTGGCGCAGAAACTGGATTTGCCCGCTAAATTTAGCAGGCAATTGAACTGGTGTTGAGGTCAAGTATCAGGGACTTGAGTTGGTGTTCAGGTCACGTGGCCTCAATTTTCCCGCTAACTCTAGGGGAGGGACTGAATTCGTCCGGTAAATCTAGCGGAGTAACTGAATTTCCCGTCTAAATTTACCGGGGAATCGAAATGCTGTCGAGGTCACGCAGCCGGAAATGGAATGAGTGTTGAGGCCACGTGACGTCAATTTTCGCGCTAAATTTAGCGCGGTTACGCCGACAGCGACGCCGACGCCGCTCAACCCGGAAACGGGCGCCTAAGTGCTGCGCTCTAAAATGAAAGACGTTTACAAATCTCTTCTAATGAAATACCAGAGAGCAGCTCTTGAGGTGGAGGAGGGAGGGTACGGAGGGTAGGATATGCCTCTCCTCCTCCCCTTCCGTACCGTCCCCTGCTGCTCCTTCTCCTTCTACTCTACCGTTCTCCTCCTCCCCTTATCCTCCTTTTCCTTTCCTCCTCTGCTTCTTCAGCCGCTGAATTTGTTCATGGGTGACGTGACACGAAGTCGTGACGTCATTTTCCCCTCTAAATTTAGCGGGAAACTGAATTGGTGTAGAGGTCACGTGAAGCTAATTTCCCCGCTAACTTTTGCGGGGAAACTTAACCCGCTAGATATAGCTGGAAAAGTTTTCCGCTAATTTTAGCGGAAATTTTTCCCGCTAAAGTTAGCGGGAAAATTTAACCAGTAACTTTAGCGGGAAAACATCCCATAATGCAGTGCGCGCAGATAGGCCGACGCCGACGCCGACGCGTCGATTAACGTCGACGCCGCTCAACCGGGAAGCGAGCGCCTACGAGCTGCGCTCTAAAATAGTAACTGCACCGGGCTGCGATTGATTAATTTTATGAAACAAATGAGAGTGCAAGAGTTAAAATGACATGTCTAAGAGCATGCGTAGAGCTTCTACGTGATGAAAGTATTACTATTTGCAACGTAAAGCTCACTGCCACAACCTAATGCACTTCTCTAGTCTTCAAGAGCGCTTCTCCAGTCTTCAAGAAGACCCCATATCGAATTTCGGAGCAGGTTGATTTTTTTTAGCGGTTGCCAGTTAATTTATTGTGTAAATCTTTTCCACTCTGGGGCTCCCCTAAGATCAGTTTCTCAAATCACCATCCCTATTTACATATTTGCTTCTACTCGGGTTACTGAGACGTGTACTAAATCAATAATTTTTCTCTCCTTCACCTCAGGAAATGTATGTCAAAGAGGGAAATGTCCCAACTAATCATAGCACAAGAACTAGGTTCAAAGATACGAGTCAATATAATTATGAAATGATGGCGTTTTACCCCCTACAGTATACATTGCTGTGACCCACGCAACACGGGTCAGAAATAATTTAAATATAAAAACAAAAAAACAAAAACATCTATTTTGACACTTGCAAACACGCCATAAGTATTTTCCATAGCCGCTTTCATGGGCTCAGCGTGAATGAAATGTTCCGCCTGTAAAGGTCAGTTCACACACTTGCGCTTTTTTCTACGACCGACGTATACAAGACGTGTTCCTAAGCATCTAGCGATGGCTTACGACCTGCTACTCAGCCATACAGCCAACCGTAAGCCATCACAAGAGGCTTAAACATCGGTCTAGTCTCTGTCGGTCGTAGTCGAGCTCGCGTATATGAACGGGCCTTTACTGGCAGACGTTTGCCTTTGAATATCTCCAACATGAACTACAACCGTTTATTCTCCGGTCGGTGGTATGCTGAATCTTCATCGTTGCACACTGCATAACCGGCATTACACGGTCTCGAATTACAGATTGCATTGCTTATACCTGTTCTCCCAATACTACTCGTGTGCTTCTTTCTTTTTCAGTTATATTTTGTCTGAAGAAAACGTGTTGAGAACTGCAACTCACATTTAGAAAATTAATCATCGTAATTTTATAAGCAATGCGTGTTACGCCATCTGCATATTTTGGACATGTCCTAGTTATGATATTCTGATTGTAATCCTAAACAATATAATTTCTCGTTCCTCACATCAGGAAGACAAAATATAGTAAAAGAAAAAAAAAAAGCGTTCATGTCATTAGAGTGTTGTGAAAGGTACAGTAAATTTTCAAATTTAATTCCATCCATCTTGTGGTCCTTTCGTAAAAAATGATTTTAGATAATTCTGTTATAACGACATTCCAATTCTTGAATAAATAAAAAAAACTCACGAAATTTGTTTGAAAAACTTTCGTTTTCGTTTAGCCGATCAGTATAGGAAGCCGCTTGATACGAACGAATATATATCTTATTAATTCTTATATATATATATATATATATATATATATATATATATATATATATTTATATTGGTAGAATACTTACGACAAAGATTGTTTTCATTAAAATAGGATTCTCACAGGAGTGCGAAATTGCGAAATTGTTATTAGGAACCTTTGCTGTTCTCTGCTTTTTGATTGGAAGATTATGTAATCCTTTTCCATACCGCGCTCAATTTCAAGATTACTAAGGTTTTTATGTGTTTTTTTTACATTTTTCTACACAGTAAATTATAAGCCCAGCGGCACCCAGTAGTCTACGTATTTACGTACCGATGGAAATCTTATGAGCGAAAATCAAGCTTACCGTGATGTTAAAGAATGTTAAGTTTCCATGTGGTAATAGTTTTATAAAGTAACTACGATAAAAAAGTGGGAAAACAACGTCTAACGAAATACATGGCAGACCCTAGGCGAGATGGATTGGCCCCGGGTGTAAAAGAATCCAGCAAGCAGACTACTGTGGTATCAAAGTTTTATCTCGAGGCAAACCTTTTTGTTTTTACAAAATAAAACAAAAATCACAGTCGACATAAATCTACCCAGTGTACGGAAGCACCAAAGGATTTCTAGTCCATCGTCTTAACCACTTCACTACAACTCTACAACTGCTTTTCTTATTAGTTAAGGGTCGGTTAGGATTTCATGTTTTAGAGTTTTCACTATTGCTCCAGCGGATCAAGTCGATTAGTAGTAGAATATTTTTCATGGAATCAAACAACCCTAAAGTTTGTTGGTAGGGTGCAAAAAAAACATTTAACAATTCAATTAGAACCTCAAAGATGGCAATGTAAATAGCATAGATTTATGAGTTCTTGAAACATTTTTGCTCACGGCATACGTAAACAAAAAATCCCACAGCCACTCTTATTTTTTTTACATTCTATAACTTTTGAAGCAGAAATGTCATATGATATTGCAATTTTAATCTCCTTAGTTTAGAATTTATTTGTTCTTAAACTGCTGAACCTGCAGAAGTCTGGCCGTGTGTTCTGTGGTTTTTAACTAACACAGTTTTTGTCATTAAGTCTCGGACAGCGGAAAACTGACATTTACATAAAAAGCTGTTCTTCAAACCATCTCTGTCCCCCCCCCCCCCCCCCGCACACACACAAAAAATAATAAAAAAAAACGAGTGTGCCACTTTTGATATAAAGTGGCATTTTTCTTAACTACGCTGGAAGAGGGTAAAAACACAAAGCACCTTTTCAAAAGAAAAAAATCCTTAAACGTATTTGGTTACTATCTTGAAAAAAAACTATTTTAGAAGTGCATTCCCGGTGTGCATACTTGTTCACAAGTAACAGTTAATAAGCCTGACAAAACGCCTTTTAGTGAAGATTATTGCTTTTTCCAGACCTTTTCAGCTGCTATGCACCGCCAGTTTTTTTTTTTACCGTTTATTATATTGTTTTAATTAGAGTAACAAATTAAGAGTTCTTTCGTTTAGTAAGTCGTAAAAACGACGAAGTGCGCCCTGTATAAAAAAATCTTCACTCTTGACAAGCAAACCGATTTCTTCTAAATTTCAGATGGTTTCGACACCAGTCCCGAAAACTGCAGACAATCGTGGACACGGGAGGTGTGCGACAGGTCAATGGTGTCTTAACTTTCGAGGAGGTCAAGCAGCAACATGAAGGAACCTACGTCTGCGTGGCCTCAAACGAACTCGGCGAAATAAGAGCAGAAGCTGGCCTCTTCGTCAAAGGTAACGATTTCATCCTCCTTCCAACTATTAACTTAAATTATGTCATCTGAAAAACTCCGCAGTTGTCTGCCAGTGAAAATATTTCGCTGTGAGCGGGAAAAACATTAAAAAAACCAAATAGCCTTCATATGAACTCTTCAATTATTTCTTGTTATATGTATAGAACATAATATAATATATACATGTGATCCAACTTTAGGAATCCAATGGTCTAAATAATTATTACAGTGTTTCTCGCCATATGGATGGTTTATAAGTTGTTTTTCCGGCGATGATGTGACGTTATCGAATACCCTCAGTTAAAAAGATTGCCAGGATTAGCCTCGGTTTCCTTTCTGAACTGTCCGTGACAACGAACCAAAACATAAGACGAGCCCCAAGAATGTTTTAATGTTTGTTTCTTCATCCCTGACAACGCAGAAACAATAAGCCTAGCGCTGATGCCCAACTACCAAGTGGTCGAACCGGGGATGTCAGCCAAGCTCAACTGCACCACCACCACGGGTAGTGTGGACCTGTCGGAAGTCACGTGGTACAAGGACGGGAGGCCCCTTAAGACGGACGTGCTCCGAGTGAGACTTGAAACCATGGCGAACCTCGTCATCAGGCCAGTTGAGAAAAGAGATGCTGGCATGTATCAGTGCTTCGTAGGCGGTAACCTGGAAATGGCGCAAGCGTCTGCAGAGATTGCAGTTGCTGGTGAGTTTCACCTTAAACTCGGCGTAAGAAATGTGTTGGTGTGGTAACCTCCCGCGTCGAAGCTGCAATATAAGGTCCTCTTCTCGCCTCCATTGGCAGTGGCTAAACCAGATGACTCTTCCTTTCGTGGGCCCGGTTTTTCTAGCTTCTCTGGGAAGACTTGCCTGTATTTTGGGTCGTTTTCTGCTTGTGCCGCATCATGTAGAACTCAGCACTTTTGCTATCGTGTTGCTTAGGCGCAGCTTCGTCATTGACCCTAGTTTCTTCCTTAAACAGAGGAAAGAATTGTTTTATGAGCGCGTTGAAGTGGAGAGGTCTGCGGTGTGGTGTTATAACCAGCGTCGTGTAAAGTCAGAAAATATGCGCCGAGTGGAAATCGCATTCGCCCGGTGTAAGGCCATGAGACGCTTTTTTGCACTTCGCTTTTCTGGTTCTCAGTTGCTCGTCTGGCCGGCGGAAAGACTGTCGGCATACTTACATAGACACTCGCCAAATGAGCTTATCTGTTCGGTCACGTCTGAGCCTCTGCCCTGTTGTATGTCATCGCCTCACTGAGACATGAAAGGGGCGCTATTGCGCTTTTTGACATTTTCGTTTTATTGTCATAACTCATTCTACAAGCTCTAAGCATCTTTAAACCCCGAAATTACATTCAAGCGCGACAGATTCGCGTATTAAGAAAAGTGATAAAATATTCCGACACTTCCTGTTGGCGCAGAACGACAGATGGCCCTACCAAACCATGCTAAATATGGTCGAACGACGGACGAAGCTTGTCAGCTACTTGCAAGCGATGGGTTCCCGCTTGAACGAACGAAACTGGTCGTTAGCTCATCCACATAGGAACTCTATGCTCGCGAGGTGCTGACAAGCGCCGTCCGTCGTTCGACAGAATTCAGCAAGGTTCGGTAGCACCATCTTTAGTTCTGCGCCAACTGTAAGTGTCTGGATGTTTTATCCCTTTTTTAATACACAAATCAGCCGCGTAAGAATATAGTTTGGGGTTTTTATAGGATGCTTAGAGCTAGTAGATTGAGTTATGAGAATAAAATGATCTCAACAAGCACTTTAGTGCAACTTTAACTATCGATTCTTCGAACAATTTTACCCCCACCGTCCGGGTTCATACTCAGGTGTTTTTGTTAAAATAAAATATACGACCGCATTCTCAGTATAATTATAAGGGTTTCAAGAAATATGACCGTGTCGAAAGGTATCAAATTGATATTTTGTCAGTTGTAGAAATTTACTGCTCCAAAACTCACCCCCACTGTCAATAATACCATGGCGGTGGTAGTGGCGGTGGTATGCCGCAAAGAGCAGAGTTTGGAGGGTTAGTATTGCTAGATGGCTGGCGATTGTCCCGCTCGAAGGGCCGAATGTTAACATGCATATGGTCGGGAAGGTAGGTTAGAATGCTGTAATCATAACGAATCGCCGACGTTATGCGACGTGGCTAAAAAAAAAATGAAAGTTAGTTCGAAAGTTTGGTAGTTCCTTTTTTGGGGAAAAAACTTAAAACCGCGCAAAGAGGTTCCAAAGATTTTAGCAAGAATATAGGAGTATTTCAGGTTGATTTAGAAACTTAAATATTTAATAGCCGAATTGTGGTTACAGCTGCATGGCATTCACCGCACTTGTTGTGAACCATTTAAAAATAACGTACAATATTAAAAGAAAAATATTGATTATGCCTCGGATTGCCCATTGGGATATTTTGTTAATTTATTTAAGCAGCATTAAATTATAGGTGGTATGTTGAATATTTTTCAAGCACATAAAAGTAACTTCTTTTTGAGGGAGCACAATGTTAGCGACCACTCACATGCAAAAATTATGGTAACTTAAGACAAGATCAGTAACTAACTAATTCAAGTACCACACAAATTAATGATATTCAACTCCTTATGAATTGCGTTTCGCATTAAATGTTCTAGTTTATGGACTCCAGCTGTGCTACTTGAACTCAGTGACCTTGTGACAAAGTCCTTAGATATAAGCAAAGTATAATTTTATAAATAATTGCAATATTTTGTAATTTGCTGAATAAATATTGCAGGAGATATCAAACAATGTTGGTACTACCTCTCGTTATTGCAGAGACAGCGCCAAGCCTCACGCAGACGTTCTACCAGAGAAGCGCAAAACCCGGCGAGAGTATATCCCTTCAATGTCAGAGCAAGGGCAGACCTCTGCCGACATTTTCCTGGGAACGCGATCAGGAACTGCTCTTGAGCGACCGTCGCGTCCGCATCACGAGCGTCCGCATCAGCAACCAGGTCATCTCTGTGCTGAACGTCACCAGGATATACGCAGAAGACTCTGGACTCTACGGCTGCAGAGCCACAAACGAAGCGGGATCGGTGGCTCACTGGGCTCGCGTTGGCGTACATGGCAAGATCTTCGTGCACCAGGGATTGTCTAATGTCACCGCCGTACCAGGACAGGAAGTGCGGATTCAGTGCCGCTATGGCGGGTTTCCAGTTGACAGTGTATCCTGGTACAAGGGTAAGTTTTCTTCTATTTCCGGTTCGCGTATAAGCACTTTTTTTACAAGAACAAAATCCAACATGTGAAGATAGTTCCCTGGAAGGCGTGAAGCTCTTCTATTTTTAAGTTACAAAGTTCACTAACGACGGATATGAACACATCATGTGGAAAACCGAAATCATCCAGTACTAAAATGACACATGTTCATGGCGACTCATGCGTAAAGTTTCCTAGAAGAGAACGTAAAAGGTTTACTTCTATCACTACGAAAATAATTGATTGTAATTAAATTTACTAAAATAATACAGGATTAAGCGAAGTGGTTTGTCTGACACCTAAGTGATGTTCGAATAGACCAGGCACCTTTTTTCTTTAATATTTTACCTAGTGTTGAGAAAAAGAAACAGCACCAGAATGCCGTTCATTCGCTTTTGTTCACGGTCACATGCGTCCAAACGCATTCAGGCGTATTTTGAGTAAAATATATATTTGATATATGATGGTGGCTAAAGGCACTCAATAGCTGCTTCGCGTAAAGACATAATTGACACGTGACGAAATTTTAGTATCGGGGTTGGGAGTTGTATTTGGCGTGTTTTATTGCAATAACGATTTGCTCATCGATTTGGTAAATATTTTCATAAATATCTACCTTAGCTCTATACGTCTGGGTGATTAACGCAGTTGATGACATCAGATTATTTGACGTGACGCATGCAGTTCAACCTTTTGAACAACTGAACTTTAAATTACATAGATACCTTTGTAAAATTCAGTGAAGTCAAGCCTCTTAACTGAGCTTCAATTATGCATGCTGGCTTAAAAACTCTGCGGTATGTTGCTTGTAGAAACCTTTGCGAAAAGATATATTGACATTTCAGACAGAGAAATATCAATATAACTAATGCTTAACGATATATAGCTATTAAATTCTAAGATAAAAAAATCCAAAGTAGTCGAAAAATGGGGCTAGCGCAATAAAGCATTGAATGGCGAAGCACCAAGAATTAAAGCAAGCTTAGCAAACAGCAAGTAGTCGATAAATAATCTTGAACAAACCTTGATCAGGTGCTTGGAAAAATACATCGATATTCCAATTTACGCAATTCTTAGTTAATGAATAAATCCTAAAGCAGTAGCGAGCGCATAAATTATTTTCAAATAGACCGGAACAACGGTTATTATGATCATTAAAGAGCATAATCTCAGGCATCTGCGCTACAAACCACCATAGATCTAATGATGAACTATTTTTGAATCAATCTGACATATTATTCCGCCAGATGTCTCGTGGTGTTTGCCATTTCTATTGTTTGACCGTTCGTAGCCTGCACCCTCAATTGCTGGCATGGCGAATTCGCACAGCTGCACACTATTTTATCGCACTCTGCAGTGCTACTCCTGGAAACACTTGAACAAACTATGGCGTGAAAAAGACAAATACATAATGCCTTTATTGACTTTTTTATTAGTTATTTATCAGTTCTTCTCACGTGTGCTAGTATAAGCTTTAATTGCTAAACGTTTTGTCAAAAGTAGTCTTAATTGCCGACTTCCAATTCGAGTCTGTGTGCAACCCAAAAAGCAATAGATAGTTATTCTATTATTTTCGCAAGGTTATCTATGACAGTCCACGCCTTGAAGGCACTTGAAAAGTTCGCTATTCTTGACGAAAATACCGTAAGTCTGCAGGCGAGCTGATCTAAGTGAAATCTAAATATATTAATCCGAGACTGGGGCACAAGGAGGGAAACGTTTACGGTAGTAGAAAAAAGTAGTACAGACTCTCGAACTCAGTTAGTGTGCGTGACGTTGAAAACAAGGTGATGGCTTGGTTTCAGGCCATTGTGGTGTTGCATGTAAGCAGTATGATTAAATTAACTGATTAGCTGTGTTCGAGGCCTTATCTGTACTGCTTCTTTTCTTCTACCCCTGCAAACGTTTTCCTCCTTCAGTTCCATTATCTGTTCAATACCACTATTGTTCGTTCGCCAGTATATTTTCAAAACCCGAAGTCGAAAACATGGCTGAAAAAATACGGTGCAGGGTCTACGCTGCTAGCATTGAATCCTTAATGGAGGCACTGTTGGTAGTCTGGCTCCCTTCTAGTTTCAAGGCAGGAAGTGAGAAAGCGCCAATAAATAAAAAGGGAAGATACGAAAAAGCAGATGAAGGTAAAAAATCGTGACTGCAGTTTAAGAACATGGTAGGAGAAGCAAAAGCTAAAAAGGATACTCGATGAAATATGAAGAAATTCTTTTTATCACTGTTGTACTCACAAGAAACCGTCGCAATGCCACCGGCGTCGTCATCACCTCAGTTTTGTTCAAGATAGCATTTGCTCAAGTCTCATTCAGCTCAGCATAGTTATCAAAAAGAGACTATTGCCGGACTTTACCTTTCATTATCTCACGATAGCATAGCAGCCTCCAGTACAAAAACACTTCATGCGATTTTTCCACCCGGAGCACAAACTTAGGTATAGTAATGCTTGGTATGGTCGAAATAAAAGAAACACCAATGGCGTGTTCGTTCCAGCTTTTCACACTAGCTGTGTCGCTCACTTTACTCTTGGAAGAACGGTGCGGTAACTGCCTTTTTTTTAAATCCCCGGTTCAGGAGGTTTTGGTATAAAAATGCACGAGCACATCCCAAAGAGAGCGTCGGCCGTTGCTCGACTAAAGAGCTAGATACTGATGACTTCATTGAGTTGCAGTTACTTGTGGATTGCGCTCTCCCAATGTCTCTCCTGTACCGATTGTGGTTTATCTTATGTCACAAGCTTGTTAAATGGCGCTTCTTCCCTCTCCTTCCGAATGCGCGCATTGTTTCATTATCGGATCCTCTAAATGAGTCAGTCATTTCAAAACAGGTGGATTGTGCGTATCGCACCTGTGTGTTGCTGCGGTGTTCTAATGACAAGGTTGCTGAGCACATAAGGAACTCTCGCAAAGGTCAGTTCATAGAGCGCCCGTATTAACCATTATGCAGACGATGCACTATTGCCCCGCAACGTCAGACATTCGCTGGACAACGACGGCAACCTCCGCATCCGAGACTTCATGGGCTCGGTGGACGCCGGAGACTACACCTGTGTGGTCAAGAGCAGGGACCAAGAAGTTCGGGCTACGACGCAGCTCGTCCTTGTTGGTACGTGATTGCAAGCGGCTAAGGCGGCTTTTTAAAATTGATCTATACTGATGTTGCTGTCTAACTTCACTGCAATACAATGCCACTTTTCAAAGAATCTCATCATCTAAAAGTTGTCCTAATATAAGGTCCTGTCTTCGCCAGGTTAATCCTGTTGTCCTAAAAGTACTACATAAATTAGAGGATAACAAAATGGCGAAAGTTTATAAATCAGACAAGGCAAGGTGCACATATTTGAATAGTACAATAATACTTGTGTTACATTAACTAAGTTTACCAAACAGGGGGGAAAAGTTACCGATTTACTCAACATAATTATAATGCAATTAAAATACAAAGGTGCAACCGAGCTAGACAAGAATGACGAAATGAATCCCTGGAGAAGGGGAACAAGAGGGACAAAGGACAAACATAAATCTCCAAACACAGCTAGGTGACTGGTGAGTGACCGAAAAAATCCGCCAGGTCCGGGTATCGAACCCGGGACCTCTCCATTACAAATGAAGCGCTCTACCAACTCAGCTAACCAGGCGTTAGACGTCAGTAGAGCAAACGGGTTTTATCAGCTGCCGCCAGTCTAACACCAAGAAGGCTGAAGCTAGCAAATTTAAGGTTAGAATTATAATGCAATTAAAATGCAAAGGTGCAAGCGAGCTGGACAAGAATGACGAAATGAATCCCTGGAGAAGGGGAACAAGAGGGGCACCCTTGTTGGTGTTAGACTGGTGGCAGCTAATAAAACCCGTTTGCTCTACTGACGTCTAACCCCTGGTTAGCTCAGTTGGTAGAGCGGTCCACCTGTAATGGAGAGGTCCCGGGTTTGGTACCCGGACCAGACGTATTTTTTCGGTCGCTCACCAGTCACCTAGCTGTGTTTGGAGATTTATGTTTGTCCTTTGTCCCTCTTGTTCCCCTTCTCCAGGGACTCCTTTCGTCATTCTTGTCCAGCTCGCTTGCACCTTTGCATTTTAATTGCATTATAATTCTAACCTTAAATTTGCAAGCTTCACCCTTGTTGGTGTTAGACTGGTGGCAGCTAATGAAACCCATTTGCTCTACTGACGTCTAACCCCTGGTTAGCTAAGTTGGTAGAGCGCTCTACTTGTAATGGAGAGGTCCCGGGTTCGATACCCGGACCAGGTGGATTTTTTCGGTCGCTCGCCAGTCACCTAGCTCTGTTTCGAGATTTATGTTTGTCCTTTGTCCCTCTTGCTCCCCTTCTCCAGGGTTTCATTTCGTCATTCGTCGTTACTCAACATACCAAACTACCACCATATACATTGTCATGTTGCGTTTGTAATAAGACAATTTTGTTTTCAAGCTTAGAATTACATTTATGGCTATTTCGAAGTCCTATTTCTTTTGCTGATGTCTCGCTTCTAGCAGGTAGTGCTTATTTTCAAAACATTTTTTTTACCACTAAGCGCTTAAGCAACATTGAGCCTGAAGGGGGCAAGCCGTATTTCGCATAACAAAGCAATCGGTAACGGCGCGTTGGTAACAACTTATAAATGTTTTTAGCTTGGCCTAAGCAGTAGACCATATTCTTGAGTGTGCTTTGATATTGTAACAAATGCAAGGCGATATGAAAATAAATTCTTCGCTGAATCTGCGAGTCGAGTCATGTCAGTGGTCATGAACGTCTGACACTCAAAATAAAACTAACTTCGATCCATATCGGGGACACTACTACAACAATTTTGACGCTACTTAATTGGCTTGATGGGACCGTTGCGTCGGCTGCTTCCGTATTCTAAGTGAAGAGGAGTAGAGTATACTTTGTTATTGAAGGAAATGATTTCATAGATAATTTTCTTTTTCTCCCCAGTGCCTCCGGTCATCGACGACCACTTCTTCCCCGAGACCATCACGGTAGACGAAGGGTCCCGGTCTCGGCTGCTGTGTTCTGTGTCCAAGGGCGACGGACCCCTGCGGTTCCAGTGGTTCAAGGACGGGCAGCTGCTGAGCAGCGTGCCGGACGGCTCGGTGCAGTACTCGGACGACTCGGCCATGATCAAGTTCCGCAAGGTCCGCTTCAGGGACCGCGGCAAGTACACGTGCTTCGCCACCAACGACGCCGCCGGAGACAACCGGACCACAGACGTTGTTGTCAACGGTGAGACAACATCAGCGTTGGAATAAGTGATTCTTGAGGTGCTCGCTGTGCCCATCAAATTAACTTTAGCCTGCACGACAATGGCGGCCTATAGCCCGCTGCTGGTAATAAAAGTAGAACAAGCTCCTCCCACGGAGCCCTCCATTCTTTCCACTTTGGCGGAGCGAAGGCTGGAAAGAAAGCAAGTCCATCTTCGCCCCCTCTTGCCTCCTCTTAAGCGTTTACTGTGCAAAAATGGAAAGAGTGGGATGGTGGATTGGAGGAGTCCATTCCGCTTTTTCTTAACCTAAAATAGGGCATAGTTTTGCAGTTTTAGCATTGAATGTGTTTTAGTATGGTTGGCTCATTGAAGTTTTATGTGACACGCTTCGAGTAACGTAATGAAAGAGCATCACGCAAGACTTAATTGGGCATCAGTTTACTGCGTCAGCGTACAGCTGTAACTGGTGCACCCGCTGATCAAGTACAAGTCCCAGACAGACGCCGAAGTAGCACGATGATTACAGCTTTGTGCCTGTTGTAGGAGTGGTACATTTAGGCAAGTGCCGCGCTTCCCACGCTCTGTAATTTTCTTTATTGATTGATACAGTTTTCTGTGATGACGCTCAGCAAGCTTTTGGTTAAAACCATATGTTTATGACTTTAGAGAGTAAGAGATTATAAAGAAAGCTTTGTTCATTATTTAGCTTATTTTGACGGTTTTCCCCTAAATTATGCACCCGTAAAGTAGAAAACAGCCTCTAAATTAAAAAAAAAAGCTATTTAGTCTAATGGCGGGCACTACACTCGAAAATAATATGGACTTTCTGCAATGCGCAGTTTATTCTTGAGGACCGACAAAGACACCGTTAATTTTTCTCGGTAGTAACCTAACTAAAAACCCACACCAATAAAAACGTTGTGGTGTAAACAAGCCTAACCGATGAGTTTCAGAAGTTCATATTTTGCCGCTACACAAGACGCTTATTCAAACACTGCTGATTACTTCAAATTTCTTCTCACTCGATTCACGACGATGAAATCATACACGTAACAGTATTTTTTATGCTTAGCGTGTAAGCTATTTGCGGCAAAACGTACATGGGCGGTTAGGCGTTTGCGAGTGAAGCAACCACTTGAAAGAATGTATGTATATCAATTTCCGCGTAGTTTTACCTGCAAAATTTCATTCCGCCATTTTTGAACTGAAACAGACTCAAAGGTATTGCAACTTTCTGATAAGTTAGGACTTCAAAGTGTGAGCGAATCGATAAATAACCAAGTACAGTATCTTGGGTTCATGATGTCGTCAACAGAGTGCCATATATTTATAACCAATACACTCTTCAAACTGCGATGCTCCTGTTTGCTTTCTTTTGATATGCAGTGAGTCCCCGGATTAAGGTGGCTCCCCAGAACAGCACCACCAGCGTCGGGGGGCAGGTGATGCTTGACTGTGTTGCGGAGGGATTCCCCACCCCCGTCGTCACTTGGCAAAAATTTGGTGAGTCACCAAAGTTATTTTTGTATTTTTTTTTAAACTTTGAAATCGCTTATAGAAATCACTTGCTGATCTTTGTATATGTGGCAGATTCGCATTAGTAAAGCACTTAAAACTAGCGTAGTGTCTAAGAAACATTTTAAAGGGAGGAACATTGGAAGAAGGTTATATGAAATGAGATTATCATTTGTGTTGACTAGTAATTCACCGCCTTTGTTTGTATTTTTGTGCGCGTCTCTTTTATTGTCCTAAATGTTGGTTTCGCGCTGTTCCTTACAATAGGCGAATTTTTTTTTATCGAGACTCAATGAAACAAAAAGCAAAATAGATATCAAACGAAAGCATGAAGCAAAACAATATGTTTAAAAGTACCATTTCTTAAAAATATATGCAAAAAACACATGCCCCTAAATATTAGAGAGTGTTTTATCTATTAAAAAGGTAAATTTTGTTTAAAAAAGATTAATTCAATGGACAAAAGGGCACTCCAAGCTTGAAGAAATCGTTATGCCACCATGATCTTCCCAAGAGCTGCACGTTGCACGTGCCTCTTGCATCGACGCACCTTGGGCTACTTTTAAAACATGAAGGGTTTTCACATTCCGTCGTTAGGTTTTCGTTTCATAACTTTGCGTTCCAAAGAGTACGGCGGAACGCCATCTAAATTTTGTGCTTCAAAACGTACGTGTTCCATAGCATCAGACTTGTACGTAGTTAACTACTCTACTCAAGTTTTTGTAGCTAAACTACTTTTCTGAGTAGTTTAGTAACTTCCAATCACCTTTTTATTTTGGTAATTAGCAGTTTACTTTAATTACTTTTTCTGAGTAACTTCTACTCAAACTACAAATTACTTCCGAATTTTAGTAGTTGTTTTGCCTATCAACAAACGTTCCTGCAGAATGGAGATAGGATGTTTCGAAGGTCAGCTGATATTTGCAAAGAGGGCGCAGCATCTGGCGTAGGAAGGGGGGTGGAGAAAATGGTGTGGGGAGTCCGAAACCTCCCAAAAAGTTTCACGAGCCCTCCACTGCAGCAACACTACTACGAGGCGCCGGGAGCGAGCAGACACGACGCAAGAGGGGTCGAGTAACTACGGGTTTAGCGCCGGAGATTGGCGTTTCTTTGTGTCCCGAAGCTCAAAGAGACTTGACCCCTTTGAAGAAAGGGCTGGTCTTTGCTCCTCTTCACCGCAGAAACTCTCGCCCACTACAGGAGGTGCGTACACTGCATCCTCACTCAAAGGCGGCAACAAAATGCAGCGCTTGCTCTGAAGCTCATCTGGTGCTCCCGTAGTTTGTGCTGTACTCGAAGAATCGCGTGCTGAAGACCAACGCAAAGGGGTCCTTTTTCCGTTGCCTTTTCTCCCAAAACTAAGAATATGCAGATCTTCGAAGATTCGAAGATCGCTCGAGAAACTTAATAATTCCCCCAATGTTTTTATAAAAAAGATATTAAACAAGCAGGGGTTGGGAAGTACTCTAAGTACATGGTACTTAAAGTACTACTATTTAGAAAACTTCTACTTTACTTAACGTACATTCTCTGAGCCTATACTTGTACCTTCCGAGGAAAGTAGAACTCCCGACTTCAGTGTACATTCCCCGAATTTGAAAACAAAAAAATGACGCATCGCCGTGTGAAAACGCGCTCTTTCAAGATGTCATCTTCTCATATCTTTGAATGAAGTAATGGCAGCTATAAAACCGAAACAAATAAGTGCGTTATAAGTTGATTGTGTCGAATAGCTCGTCAGCGAGAGTACAACTACTCTGTGGCGACTTGACTTTATACAATATTTGCTGCTATTTACGTAAAACCTGATGCACTTCCGATTACCCCTGGAGCAATGCTTACCTGTTAAAAGACACTGTTTAGGGAATAAAAGGTAATCATGAAAGATTGTGATAAAAGTGCGTGTACTTTGCCTTCAAATATATTGTATTTATAGTACGTTACTTCAAGTACATTGGACCCGATGTACTTACTACTTTACTTGAGGCACATAACATCTCATTTACTTTGTACTTTCCTTCAAGTACTTTTAAGATGTACTTTACGCAACACTGTACACAAGCATGCACTGTCTAAAAAAATCAAGCGTAGGCGGTGCTAAACCTGAAAGTAGGAATGACACATTTGCTGTACATAATTGACCAAACAAACAAGGAAGTACAAAAAGAGTTAGGCACGCAGAAGCAGAACCAGCTATATAAGCATTTCTGTGAGAAAACAAGCCAATTTATATTTGGCTAGCACAATTGCGCTAACGGATCAAAGCCTATGTACTTTCTTTTTACCATAAAACTTATTAAAGTAACTTGAGAAGTAACTTTAAAGTAATTCGCTACTTTTCTACGGTAGTTGGTAATTTGCTCAATTACTTTCCATTTGAGTAATTTGTACTCTATTCAATTTACTTTTGAGACCAATACCCAGTAACTTAACTTAATTACTTGCTTCGAGTAACTTGTACATGTCTGCATAGCATACACTGTAGTTACTATAGCAGCCGTCCGGCGCGTCGAACCACGGGGGGCGAATCGCGCTGGGTCCGGAAAGGTACTGCTCGTGCAAGCAACGTCCATGGGCAGTTGTGTAACTGACCTGATTTAATAACGTTAGCTTGTTGTGCTTTCAAGTAGCGTGAAATGCGTCAAAGCACAAGACCCGTGCGCCATGCGGTTCCTGGAAGCAAACGGGGGCAATGCGCTGAAATTAACGGCCCTAAGAACGGCATGGCGTAGACGCCTTTCGCTCACGGCACGTTCGTTCGTTCGCGTAACAACGGTTGTTGGTACTTGTAGAAACGAAAAGCGTGTGTTTGATCGCGTGGCATTATGTGAAGCCGCGGAGCGGCGCTCAATCTTTAGACTGACAAAATGGAAACGCCTGGGCGCCTCTTCTGTACGCCCGGTCTCCGCCACTCGCTCATTGCCTTTTGGCGTCCTCTGGCCTCGCGCGCACTCTGATGCCCACGAAACAATTTTGCATTACAAAAGGTAGAAAAATATGAAATGTATACCCGCCTTTAATAAACTGAAATTTATCCCGTTGATGCAGATTCCCTTCTTTTTACTTGCAAGCAATCAAACATTTCTGTACGACTTGTTGGTCCTACTAGGCCTTCACAGTTTGTAGAAATGAAGAATTATGACTAAAAATCACGAACCGCCTCCGAGAACAAAATCACGTTTAACAGTGATTGCAGTTAGTGAAACATTTGGCGGTTTCGCGCGGTCGATCGCACTCCACATGAGGCGGGCCATCTTTGCTACTCCGCCGAAACATTCCACAGGCCGCTGATAAGAGGATAACAAGCAAGAAAGATAACACTCACGGTGATGCATGGTAGTAGGATGACATGCATTATCAGTGAAACAGTCCCCTCAGGGCAATCTGGCAGTGCACTGGGATACGTGCCCACGTCAGCCAGAACTAGTGCAAACAACGATTCTCGGTATATAGGCAGATAAAACTTTCTTAGAACTTTAGGATGGATTTTATATAAGAAAGTAAGGGGAAAGCAAGTGCTGACAGATTCAAAATTATAGTTTATAAACGAATAGCCAGAATAATAATAATAATATTGTGTTTGTCTAAAAAAACACAAAAAAACTTAATTTGAGAGTGCATTAGTGTTGTATGCTTTCTTGTCCCTAATTATTTCCTGTTTTTTCTTTTAACATGCGTGCCTATTTGTACCGATGTGAGGTACGAATACACGTTCCCTTCTTACGCGGACGGCTGAAATGATCTCTGCTAAATACAGGTTCCCTGGTTCCAAAATGCTATGGAATTTTCGCCCGGTGTGTTACTCGGTTTAATATGAAACGCCTATGATAACTCTATGGTAAGCACTCGTTACTTTACCTTTCATTCAAACCGATCTGCTCCGAACTGACACATTAGTGGCACCGACTTCACTCATCAGCTGTCGCTTTGTTTCACATTACGTGTTTCGTAAACATTCACTTTTTGTGTGTGGAGAAAATGGCTCAACTGCGCAGCGTGTAGGATGCACAGCCTGTACAGTCTGACCGGTTTCCAGTTCTAGCTGCGTGCATAGGACTGGTACAATTTTTAGTGCCTCTTTTTGTGTGCTTTTTCTAACTTCGTAGTTTTTGTGCAAAGGTTTATGTTAATTTGAACAGCTAAATTCCTTCCAAAATATTTTGGTTTTGAAACTTTGTATTTGCATTTGTTTGAAATGACTTAATCAAATGTCCAACTCTAAGATGCCATTACATTAGAGGCGAATGGATGTGCTTCGCACATATCCTTTTGGATGTATTCAGAGTATTTTATTTTAATTCAAACATATTTTTTTAAAGGGGGTGAGAATTAGACGAGTGCCGTCCCCACCATGTATATATCATGCTCGGAGTGCATTACATAAAGGAATATTCACCATACTAAGTTGGATAAGTAAACAAAATCTGTTAATCACCTTTTTAGTTATTCGTTCTATAGGGAATTTTGCAAGTATTGCATAGAGGAAAGTTACTATTAGATGCCAAACCAACTAAAGTCGATCGCAAAAGCTCGATTTAATGTTTTTTTTATATTAATTGATAAATGTTCACTTTTTTTGTTAACCCTATTAAAAAATTGAGCTCCAAGAGCGCGTCAAAAGCCCTGCCCACACTGACGCTTAGATTTCTTGCGTAGTCCGTTTCAATTGTTCCCGCTATCTCGGCAGCGTGCTCCGGGTGGGTACGCGGACGACAAAAGTGGTGATGTCACTTAACCGATTACTCCGTTACTTTGAGCCTTCATTGCGGGCAGGCCTTCTGGCGCGCTTTTCGAGCGCACACTTTAAATTGGGCTAAAACATACGACAATTTATAAATTAATATCTAATAATAATTATTTTCCTGCACATCCTTGAACTTGGTCTTGCCTCTATTGTAATTGCCATTAAACTGTAATTTAACATGACCCATCAAGGCAACCATCAAAATGGTAATTAATAACATTTTAGTTAATCAGTCAAGTTACCA